TTTTGATTGTAGGATTGTGTGTGTGTGTGTTGTTTCTCTCACAGCAACAGAAAGCAAACTAGAAAACACATAATTAGAAATTTTTTTTCATCAAAAGCTCCATAGTGTTAGACAACCAAGGTCACAGAGTACCCCGTCTTCTAGAAGCCTGAGACCCTCTAACTTGCATATCCACATTGATGATGAATAAATACGCTCCTGAAGTGCATCTTGGAATCAGATAGGAAACAAAACCATGATATGAACATGGCCCAAAACAAAATCATGTAAGAGGAAACACCATGAAAAGCCACTGCCGCGTCTTTCAGACCCCAATCTGGAGCACCAAGTTGTGAGAATTAAATGAAGTGAACACTTTGTAGGGGTTACCAGTTCTTGTCAAATCGATGGAATTTAGGGCCACCGCAGAAGCTCACGTGTGGATATGTCTACAAGATTTGTCTGAGGAGGGAAGTGGCCTGCATGTGGGTAGAGTCCCAAAGTTAATAAACGGGAGAAAGCAGTTGAGTGTTGCTCCTTCCCAAGGGGGACACAGTGTGACCAGGAGCTGCCTCATGTTCTGCCTTCTCTGCTGTGATGAAGCCTATTCTCAAACTATCACACAAAACGGGCCCTCCTTCCTTCCTTCTTCAATGTGCTGTTGTCCGATAGCTTGTCACAGCAGTGACACAAATAACTAACACATATTTGGAGAGACCTGCACTCGGTCATCCCATGTGGTCTCAATATTAGCACCCCACCTCACTAAACAGCAATTTATGTTCTATAATTCTTGGATTTCTGGCCCAGAACTCATCTGATCAGAATTCTGTTCAGACAAATAGCAGTGAGGCCCACGAGAAGACTGCACAAGAAAGAATTTCAGTTCTAAGTGGAACTGAAATATTAACATGCTACATATGGGCTTTCAGCAGAACTCAGACCCCAGTTAAACTCCCAGGCTTTCCAGCCTGCACCCTGACCAAGTTTCTGTCCCTAGAATTATCTTCCAGGGCACCAAGCACTTGTCCCTTCACAAGATGAGGAGATATTGCCAATATGCAAATGTTGGCAGCAGCAAAGGCATCACCGTTACCTCCCCTGTCATCCTGTAAGCTGTCCCAGTGATTGCAGGTTCGCTCATTTAAGGAATGAAATCCACCACCCGCACCAGCCCCACACTCCATAGTGGGAATCAGGCCTTCTCCAGGCTCAGAAGCCTATAGTGAAGAATGAGAACCTCACAACCAGCACAGGACCCAGAGGCCGTGGCCATTTGGAAGGGTTTGACTGCCACCTCGTGGTCACTAGATACACCAGCCCACAGATAATAAAAGCAGACTGAGCAAATGCTCAATTCAGATCTGTCTCTCTCTCTCTCTCTCTCTCTCTCTCTCTCTCTCTCTCTCTCTCTCTCTCTCTCTCTCTCTTTGCCTAAGAATGATGGCTGCATCTTTTGATGTGTCCTGGAAAAGAGTGGTCTTCGAGTGTTCCAGCAGCATCCCATGCTTGAGAAAGGTTGACATGTTTGGTTGTTAGTGGTGTGTTTTTTTTGTTTGTTTGTTTGTTTGTTTGTTTTTGTTTTTTTTTTTTTAGGACAGAGTCTCACGTAGCTGAGACTGGCCTCAAATTCAGCAGCTGAAGTTGACCCTAAACTTCTGAGCCTCTTGCCTATAACTTCTGACAGTACAGATGTGCATCACCACACCTGAGACAAACCCTGTACCAACTGAGTTACTTCCCTTTCCCCAGAGGTTGTTTTAAATCACTGGTTCCGATCCAGGACAATTGTGATGGCTCCCCATCATTACCATGTCTGGATGTAGAATAATGGTGAAAATCCACCTGTGATTGCATCTAGGCGGGTGTTTCTAGGCAGGTTCAACTGAGCTGTGAAACCCATCCTGAACGTGGGCACCACCATTCTATGGACTTGGGGTCCTGGACCCCAAAGTATAAAGTATAAAGGATACTGAGCACTGAGCACCAGCCCTCACCAGTGTCTGTCTCATGAGTAGTGAGACAACGCAACCAGCTGCCTCAGACTCCTGAGGCTGTGACTTTCCAGCCATGAAGGAGGCATCCTTGAACCCTGGGCCAAAGTAAGCCTTTTCTTCATCCCTTCCTTAAGTTGCCTTTGCAGGGTATTTTGACAGTCATGAGAAAAGTGACTAATGCAGCGATCACACCTGAGCTGACTGACATACTTCCAGTTGAAAAACAGTTTTCTATTTTCTCTGCATTGTCTATACTTCAAAGAAAACCACTTGGCAACTGTAAGACACGTTAGGACATTTTTCATTCTCTTTGTTCCCCATTAACTTTTCCACCCGCCCTCCCTCCTTACCTAGCTTCTGTGGCAGCATCTCCAGTTAAATCCCTTCACAAGAAAACCTCTATATTCAACTGTCTGTTGGCCTGGTGACTTTGGGCACATTTCTTCCCTGCTCTGTTTAAACATATAGAAGAATGATCTTTGGGGGCTTTAGAAAGGTTGTAGGAATGGGGAATTAACTAATTAATTGATTAATTAATCAACAGAGCTCAAGTATGGTCCCTACACTAGAAATGATAATTATGCTTTAAAATAAGAACTGTCCTTACCCTTGACAATCTACAGTTTGAAGTTCATGGTGTTTTCTACACATGTTCTGTTCTTAAACAAATAAAAATGAAATCTTCATGTAATGAAAACTCTAAAATCAAACTTCTGGCCAATAGAAAGTTGATAGGAGAATGGAACCAGCCTACACACTGCCATCGCTGGCCGTGGAAGCTGCACTGTGTGCCAATCCTTCTCCCTGCAGACAGGCTCTCAGCCTCCAGGTTGTAGGGAGGGTTGAATTAGCATGTTCTCCTAATAACTGTTCCAGCTAGAGGGAATTACCCTGGTCAAGGTTTCCCTATTCTCCACCACTATGGCCCCAACCTAAATGATGACATCTCCTGCCTCCATTGGGACTTCTCTGAAAGCTCCTATGTTCTTTTTGTTTGCTAGGCTTTGGTTTTTCGAAACAGGGTTTCTCTGTGTAGCTTTGGAGCCTGTTCTGGAACTCGCTCTGTACACCAGGCTGGCTTCAAACTCACAAAGGTCCCCATGCTTCTGCCTCCCGAGTGCTGAGATTAAAGGCATGCACCACCACTGCCCAGCAAAAGATTCTGGGTTCTATAATGCCCCTGAAGACCTTCTACTTAACTCCAGGTGATGTCTCCCCCTGCCCAGTCCTGGCCTTTTCTGGACCCCATGCTACCTCACCTGTATTGACCATGAGAATCCACCCACAATAAACCACCAACTTGCAATCCTTCATCCCAGAGTCTGCTACCTAGAGAATGTAACCTAAGACATCTGTCTTCTACCTGCTGTCAGCACAACAGCCAAGGGAAAGTCAGGTCTTTACTCCTTTATGTAGATCCATCAATGATCTATGCCTCGTCAGAATGGAAAGCCAAGAGCCTTGTCATCTACATGTGGCTTCATCCTTTAAGAAACTCTGTCTCCTCTACCACACCAGCTACACTGGCTGTTCCCCAAACTCAATACATATGCTTTCGCCTCAGGACTTCGGCACTTACTGTTCTGTATTCTTGGCACGCTCTTTGCTGGATCATCAATCAACCTCCATCCCTCACCTCCTTCTCATCTTTGAGACTCAAGTGTCACCCCCTCAGTTAGAACCCCATACTGAACCACACAAGACTCCACTGAACCCCAGAGTCCACCCCTTTCTTACTTGGCCTTTCTCCACAACAGTACCAGGGTCTAGAACACTGTGTTCTATATCAATGTAGCTTAATGCCCATCTTCTCTAGCACAACCTAAGTTCCGTGGTCCTAAGCTGTCTTCCCTAGTTATACCAGTTATAAGCGTAACTGGTACACAGTAGCGGCTGGACCAGTGTCGACTGCGTGAGTAAGCAAGAGAAGCAATGGAGATCTGGCTGCGGAAGGACAAGACCCAGGACCTTCAGGGACGTCACTGAATAGCATCTGACCTGCTCTTGAAATCAGCAGCCATCATCCTCCCGTCATTTTGGTAAGGTTTGTTCGGGTCCACATTTGTGGAAGCATCAGATAAAAATAGCTGCTAAATAAATGTAAGATAATTTTTGATTACTCTGAATCCTTCATCAGTGAGCTAATTACTTTTTAAAATCATGTACAAGCTATCAGGTTTTTTTTTAAAGCAAATGATATGACATTCAGACACAGAAAACCCTGAAGATGTTCCGATATTTAAATAAAATATGAAGTTTTATTCTACAGCCATGCATGTCCTTACAGACGTAATAAAAAGTTATGTCTACATTTTACAATTCGAAGATCTTCTGCTCCCACAAAAAAATGTGATAAGAGTTAGTCCCATAATTAAAATTTTAAACAACTTTCTTATTTATATAACATATATTCTGTCTTTGCAAAATCTTAAAATATAGTTTTTTGTTTTGTTTGTTTGTTTTTTTGGTTTTTTGAGACAAGGTTTCTCTGTGTAGCCCTGGCTGTTCTGAAACTTGCTTTGTAGATCAGCCTGGCCTTGAGATCACAGAGATCCACCTGCCTCTGCCTCCCGAGGGCTGGGATTAAAGGCTTGTGACATCGCAACCACGCCAAATATAGTTTTACTAAGAAATTGTTCTCAGTTCCTGAAGTTCCTGGTAGTCTGTGGAAGCATGGGTCCCTGTATTGCTTGAAATGAGGTAAGAGGATGAAAATTCAAATGACTTTCCAGAGGCAGTCTTCAAATGTTTACCCTCCATGACTCGGACAACATGCTCCTTCTTAGAGACCCTTTCCTGTAGAACACGGCCCCTCCTACTGACCACTTAGTCCGCCACCACACAAACAACAGCAGCAACTCTGTCATTTACCAGTTCCTAAAGTTACAATTCTTTCCAAATAATCTTAAAACCCAAACAGAAGTCTCACCTATACTGGGTCACTCTTTTGTTTAACGATATTTTAATAAATAAAGTCTACAGCTCAGTTACCGAGCCCTGAAAGCAAATGGCAGAAAACTTCTGAGGAGGCACAGTTACCAATATTTTGGGTTTTTTTTTTCGGGAGGGAGGGGCTCACTTCTCTAAAATTTAAAAATAAAATCCTTGGCTGCGATTTGTTTAGTCCACTGTAAAAAAAGAAAAGCAGCTTCTCTGCGAGACGACTCAAATGTTAATAAGATGCAAACACCACACTGTACAGTAGAACAAACCCATGGTTTCTGACTGCCGAGCCGGATGCTCATCAACAGTAAGACATGAAGCCGTTCAAGGACAAGCCGGCTGCTCAGGCACCCCATTTAAACAGTGCCACTTTCTGAGTCTTTTCATCTTGATTGGGTCATTCACAGCTCTACTGTTCGTTTTGTTGGTTGTTTTTTTTTAATGGTCTCTTCATGTGGCCATTTTGCAATATCTGCATTTTTACAACTATCAGGACTGCTTTCATCCTGCCAGAGGTAGATGCGCACATCTGTATGTGCTTACAAATGCTTGCCTGATGGAAATGACGACCTCACGCCATGTCAACGTGATGCTCTCACGGCTGGTGGATCTACTGGGTCTACAGAGATGGTACTGCAGAATGTTCTGATGGGTTCTTATTAATACAGCCATTACATGAGGGGAGAGCATGGCTGAAACGAGATATGTGGGCACAAATCAATACAACGGCATGATTGATTCAGGTTCCTGATGCACATAACCTGAAGCCGACTAAACACTGGTCTACAACCGGAATTATGAACAGACAATGAAAATACCAAACCAAGTAGATAAACGACAAGGTGGAAGATTCTGGAACTATAGAAGCACGTTAGAGTTAACAAACACACTTACAGATTCTAAAGCTGATTAAGCTGACAACTTTGGTTCCAACAGGAATGCTCTGTGACACCAGGGGCACCTGTCCAACTTTGAACTATAAAAGTAACGTTTTTCAGTGCAAAAATACTATTGCTATCAGTAAATAGCAATGACACAATAAACACACGAAACACTTAAAGACAAAATATCCTGAAAATATGTTTTCAACAGAAAAAGTAAATTTTGTAGACAGACATGGTGGTATACACCTGTAATCCCAGAACACAGGAGGTTCAGATGCTTGTTAGTTCACGGCCAGCCTGAGCTATATTCAGAAGTAAAAAGTCATGTTTCCTCTTGCAGTAGGCTATGACAGGTTGTTTGCTCCTTTGATCGTGAGTCTAGATGTGAGGGTGTTTAAACACTCCCTGCTCGTAAACAAACTTAACATTTCTACAGTTCATCATGTTTCTTCTTAAATGGCCACTGTGGATGTCCCAGAACGTGCTCTGCAGCCTGAAGGACAAGGTATATGAATTCTTCTACATCAAAAGAGTAATTGGTAAACTTCGGGTGTTCTCCCAGCGTTGGATGGTGCCCCTGCAGAGACAAGCCAGGACAAAACCCAAAGTCACTGAAGGTGTGTCTTTTCTACAGAAATGAATTCATTTTACTTTAGCTAAAGCAACTATTTTAACTTATGCTATTCAACAGAGGTTGGCAAGCTTTTTCCACAGAGGTCCCAATAATATATTCAGCACTGTCAACATCTGTTCTAAGACACAGATGCTCTGCCAAGGAAATGCACAAGCAAAACCAGACAATATGCAGACAAATGTGGCTGCTCCCAATAAAACTTTATTTACAAAAGCAATGGATGGGCCAGATTTATACGACAGAGCTACAGTTTGCTGGCGGCTGCTATATATAATCTGATGTAAGCTGTTTTAACAATATGGAGGTTTTCTCCAATTTGCAAATATAAAATACACCTCAGTTTTTAAGAGAAGAACACTGTATCTTTGAGACTCAGCAGTGGCTCTCATGTTAATTACTAGACTCCAAACCATTTGACTGGATGTTACCTTATCTTGAGGAAACACTTTGCTGGGCTTCCGCCAGGTGATGTAGTGGACGCCTCTGAGCCTGGCCAGGTCTAAGTAACAGCGCTCATCTTCACAGTTGTACCTAAGGACACAAGGGTGTCATAAAATTACGCTTTTGTCTAGGGGGTTGCCCAATGTGTAACAATCTAGGAGGGAAAAATCATCCCCCAAGTATGGTCTTACTAGACCATTTTTACAAACATGCTCAGGGTGAGGAGACCATAAGTCTGTGGTCTGTGGTGACATGAATAGGCACTGGGTATGATCCCCAGCACTGCAAAACAACTTAAATTAGTATTCTCAGAACCTTACTTTAATTTTAAGAGAATAGAGTAAGGTCGAGGAGTGGGCACCTTATTCAGTAGGTTCTACTGCCTACGGACTGGAGATTATCTTGAAAGATATTATCTTTACATACATGAAAAATGGAGTTAGGGAGGTAACCCATTCAAGGTTAGACAACTGTTTAACGAAGGAAGTAAAATCCCATCCCAGCTCTGCTGGGCTCCAGTATCTCCCTTGTTTTCCCTTCCCTTCCTCCTTTCTTCCATCCTCCCCTCTCCTCCTCAAGGGCAAATGAATTAAGACAGAATTCCCATTCACCTTCTACCTCACCAATTGCTCGAAAATGTCAAGCAGAATATTGGAAGTTTGTAACAAGCTTCCATTCAGTAGTCTTCTTATGGACCCATCCCCTCCCCGGCTCTGCCTCATACATGCTGGGTAAGCAATCCACCTTTGGAGATGGTGCCTCTGCTATCCCTGCCATCGCTACCCTGTTCTCTCTCAGCAGAGTAATTATACTGGTCACAGAGAGGGAAGGGCTCACAGTGTAAGAGGTGGATGGCAGTGAACTTGGTGTTGGGAAACCACAAGACTACATCCTGGGAACGGTGCTGAGGCTGCAGGGAAGGAGGGAGTAACTGCTTCCTAAGAGTGCTGGCAGACCTCAGACCTTTTAGCTTGAGGTTGCTTGCCTTTTCCAAATTACCACCATGATGTAGCTTGACGGGAGTCTGCTAGGCCAGCCAATGCCCAGGTGGGAACTCTTAGCTCAGAACCTGACGCGTAAACTCCCCATGGAAAGTTGCCCCTGTACTCACAGCTCGAATACAGCAGCCCAGTCTGGAAGGAAAAGTAAGTGGGTAAGGCCAGCTCCGTGCATGCCAATAAATATGTCCGTGTTGTGTGTGATCCTCAGCTGATCTAAAAACCCGAGCTCTCTGCAACATGGGATAACACAAGAGAGAAACAAAGGGTGAGTGAGGTCATGACCCACAGTGACAGTGTTTGTACTTGTGTGTCATAGTCTATATCCATGCCTTTAGGACAACTTCAAATGCACTCCAGTATTTAATAATCTAATTCATTCTTTTGGTAACACATTCTTTAGCCCAAACTTTCTGTTTTTCAAGGGAACATTAATAAAAAAAATCATTACACATGATATCAACATCATTACAGAAATAGATATAATTCAAATAAAAGGTGCCATTCAGATGTATGTGGAAAGATAACACTGCAGGGCAGAGCTCCTAGCAGGAAGCCCCACTCTTCCCTCTTCCTGGAAAAGGGGATACGAGCAAGTGCTAACGAGACACCAGAATACCCCAAGCTGAAAACTACTCTCATTAAGCAATAAAACAACTTTTTAAAAATGAGAATGGGGGTGCTGGAGAGATGGATCAGCAGTTCAGAGTACTGGCTGCCCTTCCAGAGGGTCTGAGTTCAATTCCCAGCAACCACACGGCAGTTCACAACCATCCGCTACTTCAGTTCCAAGGGATTAGAAACACTCCCCTGGCCCTCTCCATCACAGCAGACATGCAGTACACAGGCACACATACATGCAGGCAAAGTGCCCATACACATAAAAGCAAAAAATAAAGTGAAAAAGAGAATAAATTATGTGATGTGTGTTACTCAGTGTCATATACTTAAGATGATCTCAGATGCAACAAGCCATTGTCTGTCTTGGCAGGAGGCTAAGATTTCACAGCTGTTCTTTAAAGCCAGTGTAATGTAAGGATAGAAAACCGTGTGTGTGGAGGGGTAGGGACCAGAGATGAACATAGGAAAAGCAGCAGCAAAGGAGCCCACCAGCCTATGTGTGCTTTGTTCTGCCAGGAGAGCATGCTCTCAAAAGCACATTACAAAACTGGAGAGGCAGGTGTATATGCCAATCACCCATAAACGGTCACTGCATACCTCATCCCTCGCTTCCCTTCTTGCCGACTTAGAGTCAGGCAGACTCTGGTCTATACTGTAACACCAGCAGATGCAGACACGCCCACTGGAAATCAGTCCACAGACATGTACTGGAGTGAGGCTAGGAATGAAAACTGGAATGTGGTATTGGGGGAGGGGGGCACTGAATAGTCACAGAAGAATAGGTATCCAAAGTCGAGAATGATAAAGATCTCTCTCAGAAAGGAAGGTAAATTCTTTCTTAAATCAGGTTTTAAAAACAAACCAAAAACAAAACAAAGAAACAGGAAAGGAAGACACTCTCTCTGTCTGTCTGACACCAGGGAAAGGTGTCTCTGTTTGCCTAGGACTGTGAACTGGTACCAAGGTGAGGACGGTGTGATGGTGAATTCTGATTGATTTGACCCATTGTAGACTCACACAGGATGGGCGTCTCCATGAAGAACTGTCTAGATTAGATTGGTCCGTCGGAATACTGTGAGGGGTTTTCTTAAGTGGGTTGTGGTGGGAAGACCCACCCTGAATATGGGCAGTGCCATTTCATGGCCAGGTCCAGGACTGAATGAAAAGGGGAGAGCAACTGTTCTCTGGCATGTAGGCATGAATTCACTGCCCTCTGCTCGGAGGCTGTGAATGTAATGTGACTAGCTACTTCAAGTTCCTACATCTGGACTCCCAACATGATGGACTGTAGCCTGGAATTAGGGGGCAAATAAACCTTACTCTCTTCGGTTGTTTGTGTCAAGGTATTTTTATTCCAGCAGCAGAGAAGGAAGCCAAGACAGATGTGTTTGCTCAGGTACACACAGGTAAACCCCTGGACTTGCCAGCTGGAGCACCATCTTGGACTGGAAGTCACAGAGGCCAATGCTAATCAGTTATTAATGATCACCACAGACTGACAAGGTATGGATTTGTTTTCCTTCCTTTACCAGGAAAATGTTCACACAGCCTTGAAAGCCGGCAGTGGCCCAGCATCAGAGGTGCTGCCTCTCTGGCTCCTTCAGGTTGATGCCAGGCCTCTATCTTGGCCACACATGTCCTTGTGTGCCAATGGAAGAAGCCACCCTGTGACACAGAGGAGTGGTATATCCTCAAAGCACAGCGTACAGCTGTGGGCATAAGTTGAGAGAAAGCCAGTGAGACATAACAGGAAGCCTTCACACGCAGGGACTCTCTGACAGCCTCACAGGTCTCCAACATAAGAGGCACACTGTCTGCCATACCTGCACCCCAGTTTTGAAGCCCGGGGTCAGCTCACGGTCACACACATGCTTAAGGACTCTTCATCCATTTAGGAAGTAGGAGCTGATGAGTGCAGTGTAGCACTCCCAAGCTTATGTAGCGGAAGGAAGTACATCTATGGCAGGGTATCATCTGCAGGGTGTGTGCGTGTGCGTGTGTGTGTGTGTGTGTGCGTGTGTGTGTGCACGTGTGTGTGTGCGTGTGTGTGCGTGTGTGTGTTTAATATAGAAAAAACTAGCAACTGTCATAAATTTGGGTTGTGATCATGGGAATATGAGGATTAGAGCAAATTTTGCTTCTTCTTTGCGTCTTTCCTTTGGGGCTTTCTTTTTGAATTTTCAAAATTAGATTTATTCATTTTATTTTATGTGTGTGTTTGGCCGGCATGTATGTTTGTGTACCGTGTGTGTGTTTGGTGCCCTCCAGAGGTCAGAAAAGGGCATTGGCATCTTTGAAACTTTAGTAAACAGCTGCTTCACCACCATGTGAGTGCTGGGCACCAAGCCTGGGTTTTCTGCAAGAGCGGCAAGTGCTCTTAACCACTGACCGTCTCTCCAGCCCCGTTTCATCTCTCTAAACTGCTAGACTTCTGCTACCTGGAGGATGTGCTGTCATTACAGTGTGACTGTTCTCAAATCAGCAGAAAGTCCTAGACAGCAGTAAGGAGCATGCTCTCATTCTAAGTCTTTTGGTTAAACCAGAATTTAAAAAGAAATATAAATATTATTTTATAAGTGTTTTTTAATGAATTGTCTTTGATATTTAAATGTATTAGCTAACAGGGTAAGCTAGAATATATATATATATATATATATATGTATGTATGTATGTATGTATAGGTGTGCAGGTGCAAATGTCTATAAATGTGAATATGAGTATATATGTGTGTGCATGTTAAAATTTAATACTGGCTGCTAACTTTTAAAAATTCAAAAATTTCAAGTGAAAAATCTGGATTTATGATTTCTCCAGAAAAATAAGATTGTACCTGAATAGGAGACCTCAGAAAGCTCAGTTGCCCACCCCCCCTCCGAACCCTCCGTTTGACTTAATGATAGTGTCTGAGTTTCACTCCTTGAACTACAAGGGCCAAGAATGCCCACTGCAGAAGTGCTATGTACCCACCAGGGAGTGCCTCAATCTAGAGGTAAGAGCATCTGCCCAGCCCAAGGCTCACCTGTATTTGTAATCAACAATCCGGACCTCAAATGTGGATACTGTTTTCAGTGCATTCACCAGCTAGAAAAACAGAAAAAAACATGCAGAATTATTCCTTTCTGATACTATCCATTTCTTTTGCCCTGAAGCCAGCCACACCTGCCATGTGTATGTGGGGGGGGTGCGCATTCACCTGTGTTATACATACAGAAGCCAGAGGACGTTGATGTCTTCCTCCATCACTTTCCATGTCACTATTTTATTTTGTGGTATGTGTGTGCTACACATGTCTGTGTGGATGTGTGAACGTGTATCTACAGGTATATATGTATTTGGAGACCCAAGGGCAACCTCAAGTGTTGTTCCTTCATGATTCTTTAACTATATTTTCTGGGATTCTCTCCTTGAACCAGAAGCCCACCGATTTAGACTGTTCATTCTGTGAGCTTTGCGTATCCACCTGTCTCTACTGCCCACCCCACCTCCTGGTCCCATGGTGGAGAATGCCACCACACTTGGCTTTTGTATGTGGGTTCTAGGGATCTAGACTCAGGTTCTCATGCCTGCATAACAGGAACTTTATAGACTGAGCTATTTTTCTAGTCCCTTCTCCTCTTTAATATTCTGAGAAAGGGATCTCTCATTGAATCCAAAGCCCACTGTTTTGACAGCTTGCTGGTCAGTGAGCTCCCAGCATCTGCATGCTGCTGTTCTCCAATATTGGAGTTATAGTTACATGCAGCCTGGCTTTTACATCCGTGCTGGGCATTTGAACTTAGGTTCAAATGAAAAAAGCCTGGATACTGTATATGGGTTCTGGGGTCAAACTCAGGTTTTCATGCTCGTGTGGTAAGCACTTGACCCACTGAGCCATCTTTCCAACTCCTAAAGTTTATTAATTTTTGCAGATAAAAATTTGTTTGAATTAAGCATCATTTGTCCCTATCATTTTAGACCGTATCTGAATGCAAACATTGACCCTATCTTTTGAATTCATGACCCTGTTTCCCTATAATTTCACAGCCACTGGGTGCTTTGAGGACGAGGGGACAATGCTCTGGACACTATGCTGAGATGGCTCTTTCCAGCCAATGCCTCTTTCCAAACAAACCACAGGGAGTTTGAACCCCATCTTCTGGAAATGTATTGACAGGCAAAAACAAATACTATTTCCATGTAATTTCTCAAATCACTTCTGGCTAATGTTCTGGCAGACAGAGAGCACCAGGGCAGAGTAAGATCCTGTCAGAGCAGCATCATGATTCTGCAGCCCCTCAGAGCACTGGAACTGATCCTGTAATGGTTTGCATCTCTATCAGGTAGTCCTGCACAACAATAGCAACATCAACGGTCACAGAAAGCATTGATCTGGGCAGTGGTAGGGAGTCTGACCAAGATGAATTAGGGCCCTTGGCTCAATCCCTGACACAGAAGGAGAGAGAGAGCGTGCGGGAGAGAGGAAGAGGGGGAGGGAACCAAATCCTGCTCTTCTCACCACACAATCTCTGATCTTAAGCAGTGCCTATGAGTCATCAAATGCAATCTAATTAGTGGCTCCATTTTATCCATATGTATGCACAACTGCACAACACACATGCAGCCACAAGACGAACTTACAAAGAGCCACTTTACCCCCAGAAGAGAATTAATTAGGAAGCATGAGATTTAGTCATTTAGCAAGGTGGACTCACATCAAAGGAATTCCATGGGTCTGAGAGTCCTTTCTCTAATTTCCAACCACACACGATTATCTCAACAGACCTTGCACTGGGCCAAGTTTGCAGTAACCACCATTTAACCAGACCACCTGGGAGCCAGGCTGTAGTCCTAGCAGTTATGAGGCTGAGTCAGTAGGATTGTGAGTTCAAGAACAGTTAAGCCTACATATTGGGTTCAAGGTCAGCCTGGGCTACACAAACCTGAGTCTTATTCCCTGTTCACTAATCCGTCTAGTCAAAGTACTGCTGTCCTTGTCATGCACATTTTTTTGGAACCCATAACCTGTCTTGAAGGAAGAGCAACATCCTGGGTACTCTTGGGTTGCGTTTTGGAGCAAAATTACTAATCTCACCTCAAATCATTTGTGCAGACTGCCTAGAGAGTCTGAAAGAGTCTGAGAGAGTCAACGCCACTGGCTCGATGCTATTCCCTGACCTGCCCTTTCCTGATGGCCTGGACTCACAGGTACACTCAGCCTCCTCTTGCACGTCTCTGCTGTGACAGTGGGACAAGAGTGAAGGACAGCCTCGGGGCCAGGCTCCCTTGATCATCTGCTCAGTCTGAGGCGGGATCCAATCTATGATCTTGCACTGCTGAAAGGAACTGGATGCCTGGGAGCAGTTTCCAAGACATCCAGCCATTCAAATGAATGGAATCTCTTCCAATTGCATGTGTTGCCGGATGCTACAGAGATACCAAGTGATATATAAATCACCTTCTAAAAAGTATGCTTGCCTGTTGTTACTAGTTTGCCTGGAGAATGTTCAGCCTCCTGTTGCAGTCCAGACAAGACTCATGGTTTTGTTCGGCCTTGGTTTTGCCTGTATTCTACATAGAGCTGCTGCAGATGTACATTTACAGTAAAGCTAGTCTGGATGGGGAAGGAGTTTGGAAAAGCAGCTAAAGACAGTAGTTGCAGTAAGCATACACCATTAGGTATCTCTAGAAACCAAGAGTTACAAATTAAATACTTTTAATGCAATATGGAAAATACAGTAATTAGCCTTGGGAAGCATAGTCACTACGATAACATTAAAAGTTCACACCAAAACACTAACCTCATTTTGATTCAGTATTTTCCGGTATTCTGTGCTGCGTGCAAGAATGGTAACTCGAACTTTCCCATCCTGTGAGCAAAATAAAAAAATTGGAATAATATTGGATGTGCTCAGATTAAAAAAAAATGCCCCACCCCCCAGTCTCAAATGCAATTTCCCAGAGAGGTAAAACTCACTGAGGACATAGTTAGTAAATGGGGACTATTAGCCCGAGTCCTCAACGGCTGTCTCAGGAACATTACTCAGCTCTGCAAAGCGACAAACCCTGTCATTTCTTGCAGTATAGAGGGAAATGGAAGGTATTATGTTCACATAAGTCAAGTACAGAAAGAGAAATACTGCATGCTCTCCCTCAGATGCAGCAGGTAAAAGAACTGATCTAAGAGATGTGTACAATAGAATAGTGGGGAATACCAGAGAAGTAGAGAGCGTACTAGGGGGCGGTGGACACTGGGACGGATGGGGGAAGGAAACACTCAGGGTGGTTACTGGAAACGCATTACAGATATTGGAGGATCAAGGTCTGTTGTCAATGTCACTGTAGTTATTGGGCAATACAGTAATATATTGTCTATTTCCAAAAAGCTCGGGGAGAAGATTTGAAATGCTCTCACAACAAAGACATGATCAATGCTTGAGGCAACACAAATGCTTTGATAATTACACTGTGTCAAAATATAACACTGTACCCCAGAAATGTGCACAGTTATATGTCAATTACGAACACATATAAGTTAGTCATGGAAGACATTATTAGTTGGTTGTTGGTTGGTAGAGTAGATATTTTTTTAAATTTTTTTATGACTTATTTATCTTTATTTTATGTGCATTGGTGTAAAGGTGTTAGATCCTCTGGAACTGGATTTTCAGATACTTGTGAGCTGCCATGTGGGTGCTGGGAACTGAACCCGGGTCCTCTGGAAGAGCAGTCAGTGCTCTTAACCGCTGAGCCATTTCTCCAACCCGAGTAGATATTTTTTAAAGCAGGGATCATAGGAGTTAAATGAGAGAAGATAGGGAGACGTGGGCAAAGAAATAGACGAAGACAAGGAGAACAATGCGTATTCTTACAGCACCCTTTAGCTTATTTTCAGTGGCTACAGACCCCTGAATTCAGAGGCCCCCACATCAGTCAGCATTATCATAGCAAACACTGCCTCCTGGTGTGTGCTTCTCTCCAAGGTGACAATCAAGAGCTGGACAATCAAGCCTACTAAGAGCCGCAGCATATCCATTACCTTGGGTCCCTCTTGAGTGATGTTCAGCCTGTGCAGCACATGCTGGGAGAAGGCCCTGAACAAGCCAGTGTTCTGACAGCCAGAGATCTAAAACAAAAGCACCAGGTCACGTTACAGCAAACACTCCTGCCCTGGGATCTCAGCTGAGCTCTAAAGACAGGAATGTCATCTCAGATGCTTACCAGAGGTGTGTTATAGAACAGCCCGTACCGCATGCGGGGCAGCAACGAAAACACAGCTTCTTTAAAGCACACCTAAGAAAGAAGACAGTTTAGAAGACCACACAGTAATGCACACATAACTGTGTGCACCTTTACAGGACAGCACAGTGAGTGTGCATCCTTTGTAGGACAGCACAGTGAGTGTGCACGGTATGTGTGCACCCTTCGTAGGACAGAACAGTGAGTGTGCACCCTTTGTAGGACAGCACAGTGAGTGTGCACGGTATGTGTGCACCCTTCGTAGGACAGCACAGTATGTGTGCACCCTTCGTAGGACAGCACAGTATGTGTGCACGGTATGTGTGCACCCTTCATAGGACAGCACAGTGAGTGTGCATCCTTTGTAGGACAGCACA